ACTTTTGTACTATCCAAATTTGACTTTTTAGCTTAACATTATGTAAAACAAATTTTTACTTTACCAAAAGCCCTTTACAAGCTAAATCATAATTTTCTAATTAAAAACTCGATTTATTATTATAAAACCTCTTTTTTAAATAAATTTTCTTTATAATTTGCTAAATTCAAAATAAAATTTTTTTTTAACGTATAGTACAAATATATTACAATATGTCTGCTTTTATTAATACTTAACCTGACTTCTTTGACCTTGACTACTAGTATTTTAAATATCAGGATCATTTTGGTCTCAGAATAATAGAAGACAAACTATAATCTCTCTGTATTAGTTTTGCTAATATTAATCCAAAAAGTTGTGAAGCTAAGAATAACAAGAACTATTACTTCTTTCTTTTATCTATACAACCTGTGCTTAAAACATGTATTTATAGAAAATTTAATGTAAACTTTACTTTGAAATTTTCAAGATTACTCCTTCTTTTTAACAACAACCTGCTCAAACTATATTTATAGAAATCTTTCCAACTATCTCAAGAAACAGATTTAATAGAATTTCTGAAGAACTCTCTTAATTACTTGCTTCAAAAATTACTTCTAAAATTCTTTTTCCCAATTTTTTTCTGCAATCAAATTCAAACCTCAAAATTACTTCTCATTCCTAATATTTATGCTACTGCATGATTTGTCAAGTTAACAATATATCTTGTATTATATTCAAGAAAAAACAGCATATTTCAAATACTGAAAACAGCTCTATTTTCAAAGGAAGGCTTATTTACAATAATTGTATACCTCATATTATTTATATTAAATATAAATCTTTTCTGCAAACCAAACCTATTACTCCCTCTCAATAAGCAGTAATTCTTGTTTATATATTTAAATATTTCTTAAAAAATTTAAAAAAACCTTTCTTAAAAGCATTCTTAAACTCCTGCCTTCTAAACAAAAACAACAACAACAAGAATCTTTATTATCTTAAACAATAATTCAACCAAACAGATAAAAAATATCCTCTTCTAAAGACTTAGACTGATTTAAACAATACCCAATTACTGAGAATATGAAACTAAATACAAAACTAAATACACAACTCATGCAAGACTTATTTAATTTTATCAAACCCTTCTTCCAAGAATTTACTTCTCTTTATAAAAGGGAAAACCAATACCAACAATTCAAATTACAAGCCCCAAATCAATGTTTCATCTATTTATTAAAAATAATAGCAGAAAAATGTTCTAAGTTTCTTATTAAATTTTTTAAAGATTCAAACTCTGAAATTAAACCTTTTTTATTTTCCTTTTTACTACACTCTTAAAAATCTCAAATTTATACAAGTATTTTTTACCAAACTCAACTATGCACATATCCTCTACTCATACTACTTTATCCTACCCAATACTACTACAAACCAAGGCAAAGTTGCTATTAATTTAGTACGTAAATATTTATTTCTATACAACTTTTATCAAATTATTTATTATCAAAATTTATTAAAGACTTAGACCTCAAACTTATTTGACTTATCTTAAAATATAATATTCTAGTAGATAAACCAAACAAACTACTTTTTGATATTCATAATGTTAGAAAATTTAATGTGTTTGTAATATTAAATCTTCCTAAAAGTAAATTTCTTGAAACTTTTCACATTTCATTACTTAAACCACACTTAGATACACTTAAAGATGATATGAAAACTTCTTCAAAATATATAGAAAACAATTCAAAAAAATTGATAAAACCAAAGTTTTCAACTTTATCAAATATAAAATAGCAACCAAACTTTTTAAAAACAGTAAAGCCTTCTTTTCCTCAAACTTTGATTTCTCAGAAGTATTTTCTATTCAAGAACAAAAAAACAATTCATCTAAAGCATCACTTTTCTTTCTTTATACATATAAAAACAAAACCTGCAACATTCTTCAAATTGACAAAGAATTCAACCTTAAAGAATTATATTTACATTTTTTAAAAAAATCCTTTGAACAATTTCCTGCTCCAGAACTATCTCTTTCAAATAACTCTAAAACTAAAAACCTTCCTGAGCTTAACTTTACAATTTTTTTATCTGATCAAAAACATCTTGCAATCTTTATTAAATCTTTCCCACTAGCTTTTTTTAAAGAACTTGCAATTAAAGCCAACTAAGAATATACATAGCTAAACCAAAATACAACATCAACTTCTTAATGAATTACTTTTTATACTTATACATACTTAAGACAATATTTTATCAAGCAGCAAAAAATAATAAAATTGAAGACCTAAATTTTAATAAAGCACTTACAAAATTTATCAATGTCTCTTTAAACTTACATACTTTTACTAGAGTTATTTCCTTTTATGATTTTGTTTTTAAATCTCAACTTCTGAATTTAGGAAAAAATATAATCAAAAATACTTTCTCCAAGCTGAGAAATTTATCATTAAACACTTCAAACTCAAAATCCCTTACAACTTGATAACTTACTTTTCTTTAACAACTAAATAACTATACTCTTTGACTCCAAGTAACTTTTTTATGTAAACATGTCTTTTGCTAACAACATAAATACAACTGCCACTATATTAAAAGATATAGCCAATGTAGCTAATATAGAAAATGATGTAAGTGGGCGGGCAGTAAAGCCTATTTATGTGGAAAAACCAATAAATAACAATTAGATTCAACATATAGAGCAGACTTTGGCATATTACACAGCTGTGAGAACCAGACATATGGTGAGCAAGTTAGTAAAAAGATCTACTATTCTTCTCAATTATTAATTTATTATACATTATTAAGAAGATATACCTTAACAAATTTTTTTACAATACAATTTAATAATTTTAACTTTATTTAAAACTTTACTTTTTTAAAGTCTAATTATAAAATTATTATATATTCTAATAATCACTTTAACCTTAGTTTATTTTAAACAAATCTATTTCTAAGAAAAACAAAATACTACAATTTTCATTACTAACACTATATATTGAAAATACCAAAACAATACTCAAATTATTCTATCTTATAATTATTTTTATTTACTTCTTTATAACTAGTAGAAGGAATAAACTGGTCACAATGATTTGTTATTTGGTCTACAATTTGCTCTTATAGCTATAAATAAAAAGACTTCTTATGAGCTTGTTCATACAAAAAACTTCTTATAAGCTTATTTATAGTAATATACCTTATAGCTTAAATATCATATAACTGTGCTCTTAATTAGTAGCTATACTGGAACTTTTTGCAAAACAAGTCAATTAGAATTTTGTTGCATAGCATAAACCAATTCAGAATTCACAAAGATTGTAATAATTTTTATATTTTTAAATTTAGAATAATATATAAAAATTTTACAGGACCCATAGATCATTAGTACAGTATTTAGTGCTTCTGGATCGCAATCAGAAGGTTACAAGTTCAAGTCTACTAGGTGACAGAAAAACTCTGCCAGGACCCAATTGGGAAGGATTGTTAAAAGCATTTCCATATAATCAAGAAAAATATTCATATATATGCAGTCACTGGCATAGCTATGAAGTTGGTGATAACCAGATAAAACATAATCTGTCAACAAATAACATAAAAATTGAGGATACCCTTAATAAGAAAATTAAAAATAGAACAATTAAATATTGGATAACCCAGTTAAGTAGACCATGTGAAGTTAGGAAGCTGCGAACTAAAGAAGGATAGTAGATCCTATATCACAGGACAAGGAACCTAATATATTATATAGGAGCAATAGAAACCAAGCAAATCAAAATATTTCAAAATTTGGTTTTTATACTTAGCTAATATAAAACTTTGTAAAGAATATTTTTTATTTAATAATGACCCTTTGATTAATTAATAAAATTTTAAGATATTTACATTTAAACAATTTGGTTAGAAATTAATCATCCGATCATAATAGATGGGAAATAAATTATCTGATCTTGAAATACTGTCATATTTGCACATGACTTAAATAATTTCTTTAACAAGTGTTCAATAGTAACAAAGCAAATTTGCCTAATAAATTTGCTTGGTTTCTATTGAACTATATATGCTAAATAGTGCTTTTTGATTAAGACCGCATGAGTGGCTGAGTGGGTTCGGATTGTCGATCATTGTTTATGTGTTTTTGTAACACAACACAAAAATCACATTATCTCAAAACACTGATTACTAATTTGCTTGGTTTCTATTGACACCTCCATATGATAAAGCATGAGCTATCTCATAGGACTGGATAAAATTTAGGGCCAATGGCCATCTATTCATTTTTACAATACTGATAACTCTGGCCTTAAAAGAAATCCTAAGGTGTTTAAGAACCTTCAGGATGCATAGGGAGGAAAAAAAAATAACAATCTCACAGAATTTATCTTAATGCTATGCCCAGCATCAATACATTTTGTCAGTTCTGTTTATGAAAATTCTTCAGAATTTTATAATAATTATAAACATTTTTTCTTATAAAGCACTGCAATATACTGATAATATTAGTTTAGACCACGCAAAAAATGCTTTATATAACTAGTAACTGAAAACCAGTATAAGTCCGGAGTATAAATAAAAAAAAATTATATACAACTATATTCTACTAATCAGTATCATGGAAGCGGACAAACAGAATTATCACATGATTTTGATAATCACTTGTTGTCGTAAAAACAGAGTCCTTAGTTTTGATCCTAACAAAGATTATAATTATACATGTCTTGACTTGTATAGCACAGACATCAAGATCGTATATTTTCAAATATTCATATTATATGAATACAAAAATGAAACAATAAGTTATAGTTATTGTATAGGTTGTAAAAAATAACTAAATTTGTACAGGTTACATGGCCAAAGACTATGCCGTGCAAATTTAGTTATTTTATAACCTATATAATAACTATTTTATTGCACGGTGTCTGATGTATAATCCTGCGCCAATAAGTAACACAAATTGTTACATAAGACTCATGCAATAAATTAATAATTAATAACTATAACCTCCTCCCAAAATTTTAAATACCTCCAAATTTAGCTGATTTACATGCTAGTTTAAGTTCTTTAGTGCTTAGTAATCTGCTAATGTACATTGAACTTTGGTAATTCAGTAAGATAATCTGTGTAGTTTTGATCTCTTTGTTAGCAGAAATATAACACAACTACTATACCGATACAGTACTGCATTAATATTGCATTAAAATATTATTATGTAGCTACAGTAATAATTATTTTAAAGCAATATAGTATTTAAAAAAGCCATACAGGAATTAACAGCTCTAAAAATCTTCAATAGGCTAAAATTGGTCTACAAAACTCTTCTTATTTAATCAATTAAACATTATCAATTGATATATTAATTAATTTCTTGTTTAAATTTTTATTCACATTGATTTAAAATTCTTTCAAGCATACAATTAATAGGTCGAGGCTCAATTTCTTAATTGTGGAAAGTTTAACCAGTAAGTAGGTTCATTATTCTAATGAAAAAAGAGTTTGAAACTACCTTAGACTTGTTCTAATTGGCTAAAATTTATTATCCACATTTTGTGATATGAATCTTTAAAAAATTACAGTAAGGATCGCTTCAATTAATCATAGTACTTTATACACGATTTCGGTAGCTAGCTAATCACATTGAGGGCACTCTTAGTCTCTAAGTTTAGTGATTATTTATTGGCTTAATTGATCTAAGTATTTAATATGAGCTATTTACCTCTTATTTAGCTTCTTATCTGCATTAGTCTGTATAATTATCATGTTCCTAATTATGCAGACTAGTATAACCAGACTATATGGTATAGGATGTGAATAGAGCCTCTTATTCGTATTCGTTATTTGAATAATATTCGTATTCGGTGAATATTTGAATAGTATTTTAAACCTTGTCGAATAATTATTTGGCAAATAATTCGAATAAACAAATCTTATTCGAATAAATGCTATTATTCGAATAATAGCATTTATTCAAATAAATGCTATTATTTGAATAATAGCATTTATTCGAATAATAATATTTATTCAAATAAGTTGCTAAAAGATCATCTAAATTAGAGTTTAGTATTAGAACCGGTTTTATTTTATATTTAAGATTTTTGGATGCTTAATATGTTTTTACGTAACACAAGTACAGTATAAAATAGCTATTTTCTTCCTCATAAATAATGTACGTACATATAGAGCCTCTTATTCGTATTCATTATTCGAATAATATTCGTATTTGGTGAATATTCGAATAGTATTTTAAACCTTGTCGAATAATTATTCGGCAAATAATTTGAATAAACAAATCTTATTCGAATAAATGCTATTATTCGAATAATAGCATTTATTCAAAATAAATGCTATTATTCGAATAATAGCATTTATTCGAATAATAATATTTATTCAAATAAGTTGCTAAAAGATCATCTAAATTAGAGTTTAGCATTAGAACCGGTTTTATTTT